TGAGCTTCAATCCATATTGAAGACTGCAGTCAGTCCTTGACCTTCTGCAGCAAGCGCTTCAGGTCCTCCTCAGTTTCAGCAAGCAGGGTTGTGTAGGTGCTCACAAATGAGTGCTGCATGAGCTGCTTCTTGAGTGTTTAATCTTGTGCAAATCTCCAGCCTCCGTTTTCTCAGCCGTAAAGTAGGAGCAGGGCCAGTTCATCTCTCACTGGGATTTAAGAGTGTGCAGCTGGTGACTGAAAGGTTGGGAGTTTGAATCCACCCAATGGTCTTACAGATGAAAAGTCCTGGTGACTGTCATTAGATTGGAAATTAAAGGGCGATTTGCTGGGAGGGCTACCCTGCATTTGGGCTCTGATTTCGGGCACTATAGGGGTCTCTGGGACAGGACCCTTCTGTCTCTGAGTCTTGGGTTGTTCAGCTGGGAAACTGTGGGGTAATTAGAGTGCACCTACCTGATACGGAAGGAACCCAGGTGACGCAAGAGTTCAGCCCTTGGCTGCTAGCCAAAAGTCCGGCAGTTCAAACCCACCAGCTGCTCTGTGGGAGAAAAGACCTGGTAACCTGCTCCCATAAAGACCGCAGCCTGGAGAACTCTGTGAGGGGCAGATCTACCGGAGCTAATCCAAAGGCTGCACCTCTCTGGGGGTTCGAATCCACCAGGAGCTCAGAAGGAGAGAACTAGGCAATCTCCCCAGTGCCATTGGCAGCCCCCGAAACCCACCGAAATGCCAGCTCTGAGTTGACTCCAACTCAATGCCAGTGAGGTTTTTTTTTTATTTTTTTAAATTTTAAAAATTAATTTTAATGAACATTTACAGAGTAAAATTTTATTATTTTTTTTTGTGAGTGTACCATCAAATTGGATTTGACTGGTTCAGGAGGAGATTGCCCCTCCTTCTCCAGCAGAGCATCTGGTGGATTCGAACTGTGTTCTTCTGGCACTGACTACTGTGCAGCTTCTTGCCACTAGGCCACCAGAGCTCCCTGAGTTTTGTTTTGTTTCTTGTTTTTTTAACTGGGATAAAGAGTCTTGCATGGTAACTGGAAGGCTGGTGGTTTAAAACCAGCAACCCTTTCCACAGCAGGAAAAATGGATAACATGTTCACAATAAGATTCTCACCGCCATTGAGTCATTTGTGACCCTGGAGGACCGAGTAGAAATGCACGGTAGGGCTTCCAAGGCCGACAGTCTTTACAAAAGCAAGTCATCTCATCTTTCTCCCCACGAGTAACCGGTGGGTTCGAACCACCCACCTTGTGATTAACAGCCATACTGCCTTCCTCACTAGTGCCACTAAGCGCGCCTCTCCCAAAGGTTACAGCCTTGGGAACACAAGGAGACAATTCTCCGTCTCAGAGGGTGGCTGCGAGCTGGAGTCAGCTCGGTGGCAGCGGGCTTGTTTTAGGAGTTGGCATCGACTCGCCTGGCACACACACCACCTCGGGCTGCTGAGGGCTCCACAAGCTGGCGCACGCAGAGCTCCGAGTCCAGGGCGCGGTACCAGGAGGCGCTCAGGGTGAGGACGCGAGGCCCTGGGAGCGATGCCAGAGATGAGCCACCCCGTGGATGGATGGGCACTGGCCGTGCCAGCTGCCTCGCTCGCCCTGCACCTTTTCTCATTCAGGTCTCAGCCGTGCCATTATCTCAGGCCCCTGGCTGGGCTTCTTGGAGCCCTCGCCTCATGTCTGCTACAACTAATTATGCACTAATTGTTTAGGTAATTGCCTAAATAAAGAGTGCATCTGTCCCCGCTAGGCTGTAGGTAGGTGCAGGGACTGCGTCTGTGCTTCCAGAGCTTCTAGCACCGTGCCTGATGCACAGAAGTTGTTTGTCGAACAACCATGCACAGGGTTTCGGGATCGTTTGCCCGCAAAGATGGAAGGGGGCAGCTCAGAAGCGCTTAGCTGCTGACCAAACGCCCAAGGGGGTTCGAAACCACCAGCTGCTCTGAAGAAGGATGAAGCCGTTGGCTTCCATCAAGGTGACAATCTTGCATGCCCCGTGGGCAGTTCTCCTCGGTCCTACAGGGTCACGGTGAGCTGGAACGGACACGGTGACAGTGGGGAGGTGGGAGCCTTCACCCAGCACTCTGCTCCAATCACCTCCTTTGAATCTTCACATCAACACGTGTGGTAACCTCTCAGACGACGTTGCCATTTTACAGAGATGAAGAAACGAAGGCACAGAGAAGCTAAGTCTCTTGTTTCCAGTCACACAGCCAAGCGGTAGCAGCTGCAGGATTTGAACCTGGACTGGTCCCACTCCTCTGATTCCCAGAGACACCAAGGAAGCCAGGGGGCATTGGTTAAGGGTGCTGAGGGAGAATTTTGGGGGACTAGGGTGGGCACTGTCTCAGATGGGAAGGAGGCCCGTGGGAAGGGGAGGCTGACCCCAGCAGGGAATCGGGTCATTGCAGGACACTAGACTCTCAGGGCTGTCCTGCTGGGGCCCCGCCCCAAGTGGGCGGGGGGCGGAGCTCGTGGCTCTCACTCCCCCCTCCCACGTGCTCCCCTGGATCTGATCCCTCTCTCCATGGTCCAGTGATGCCACCCCACCACCACCTCCACCCCCGCGCTTCTCACCGCCTGTCAAGGCCACGGTCAAGGAGGCGATCGCTGCGGCCAGGGGCCACATGGCGGCTCCCAGGTGCGGGACAGGGCGGGGCCTGAGGAGAAGGTGAAGGAGGGTGTTAAGAGCCGGCCTGGACCTCCAAATTCCACCCCTTCACCCCAACCCCCGACTCCACGCTTTTAAAAAAAATCCTTCCTCGCGCTTCTGAGCTTCCCAGCTTTGAATCTTCCTGCCTCTGACCCTGGACTCCCACCATCCTGGGGGGGGGGCGAGCAAGGAGGTACGAGGTACAGCGTGCACCCCCTTTAGTTCCAGCTCGCGCCCCTCACTCTAGCAGGCCAGCATCCTCACCCCAGCCCTCCAACGTGTGGGCCCCGGGCTCACCCTCTCGTCCCCCACCCCCATCCTGTCCTCCCCCCAGTCTCTTGGACCCTCATTCTTCACCTGTGCCCACCCACAGCCTTGACCCATCCCTCTCCACCATTCCTTTCCATCTCTCCTTCTGCACCTTCGGTGTCTCTGACCATCTTCCTGACTCAGCGCTTCTCCCTCTCTCCCTCCCTTTATCTCCTCTCCGCATCCCTCCTTCCTCCATCACTCCCCGACCCCTCCCCAAGGCCCACCCTACCTGAACGAGGGGAGGGGGGGGTGATGAGCTTCTGCCGCCAGCAGCCACGAACTTCAGCCCCGACCCATGGCTTTTAACCCCTGAACTCCCTCCCCCTGCGCCCTCAGTATTTCCTCGTCCCTGGCCTCCCCTTCTCCACCCCCTCTGGCTCAACCAGATGAAGGCACCCCCACTTACGTCCAGGGCTTGGCTTTCCAAGGGCGGAGCTTTCAAAGCAAGCTGGGACCCGGCTCTGCACCCGCCCAAGTCCAGATTGAACCCAAAGTGAACTTTCCAAAGAGTAGATAGAACCCAAGAAGAGGGGGTGGGTGTGTGTGTGTGGGGGGGTATCCATTTCTTTCTCTAAACCCGCCACAAACCCCATTCCCACTCGTCTTCCATCTCTAATGCCATTCCACTTTTCTCTTCAACTCCAAGTGCATTCTTTTTTTAACAGTAATTTCAAAGCATTTTTAATACTTTCAGCAAAGACAGCCTTTAACAGTTGATCACATGTATGAAGACATCAGTCAAGATCATGTAAAGAAAACAGTGACCATTGAAAATCACCCTCATCTTCCACCACCTCCAATGTGTTCAGTTCACGCATGCAGGTGTGTTTATAATTTGTGTGTATTTGTTTGTTCCAAGTGCATTCTTAATATACATTAGCTACCAGTCGCCCTCTGTGGAATCCATTCTCCTCTCTCTACCTAATCTTAACCATAACCCCAACCCCGAGCCTACCCCTCAATGCCAATCTCATCTCCAACCTTGACTTCATCTCTCAACCCCAAGTGAAACACGTCCAAATTTCTGTTAATAAACTTAGCCCCAGCCCCAAGTTCATCTTCTGAAGAGGTACAAGGTACCCCAATCCATCTCCACCATCAAAGGCACTCCCCCAATGCCACCCCCACACTTATCAGGCATGAGAAGGGACTATTTAGATAAGTAGATAGAAAAGTCAATTGCTTTTGGATCTGGACGGGGCGGGATGGGTCCTGGGAAAGCAATCCTTTGGGATAAATACTCTTTCAGGAGCAGGAGTGGACGGGGTGAAGGAGTGCATGGTGACACAGGTGAAGAGGGAGAAGCAGGATCCGGAAAACTCTGGGGGTTGTGACGGAGAGGAAGAGGAAAGAGGAAGGGGTGGCGTTTTGGGAATGAGTAGGTGTCTCCTGGAACTGTGGCTGGGTGGAACCCCGAGTTAATCACAGAGGGTGGACAGGGCAGGATTAGGGAGGACAGAGGTGGGGTCAGAATTTGGACCAAGGCCAGTGATGGAGACCGGATGAAGTCCGATGAGCGAGAGAGCGATCAAGCAGTAATATCAGGAGGAGGAGAAGGGAGATCGAGAAAGTAAGAGTTCACGTCAGACTGGGGTGGTCTACATGAGGGAGATGAGATTTGGACGTTAGAATAGAATCTAGGACTAAAGGATGATTTTTAAAGGCTTATTATAATAGGGAGCTCTGGTGGCCTAGGGGCAAAGAAGGTGCACCACAGTCATGAAGGCACGCAGTTTGAGGCCACCAGCCGCTCCGTGGGAGAAAAATGGGCAATCTCCTTCTGCGCCTCTGAAAACCCTCTGGAGTGTAAGCTTTGGGTCCCTTCCAACTCTCTGGTGCTCAGAAATATCATAATTCTCACATGTGTATAAAATAGGCCTAGGTCAAAGATTTTTAAGTATTTAACAAATGGAAGAAACCAGTAAGATATCATTTACAGCTAGTTTGAAAGCATCCAGAGAACCACAAGTGGATGGGCAAGGAAAACGCTGAAATGATTTCACAAATAGGTGTAAAACTTATGTCACACAGAGAAGAGGAAAATTAGTTGCATTTCCACCCGATTAAAAAAAATAAAACAACCCAACTCATTTGCACAGTTAAGGGCAAGAGTGATTTGCATCACAATCAGCTGTATACAATTGACAAGTTGTAAGCTAGCATTTTAAATAATGATGCTGGAGGGGAATATTGAATGCACCATGGACTGTCAAAAGAATGAACACATCAGTCTTGGAAGAACTACAACCAGTATGCTCCTGAGAAGCGAGGATGTTGAGATTTCTTCTCATTTTGGACACGCGACCAAGAAGGGCCAGTCCGTGAAGAAGGATGTTATCATGCTTGGCAAAGTAGAAGACAGGTGAAAAAAAAGAGGAAGACCTTCAACGAGACGGATTGACACTGTGTCTGCAACAGTCAAGTCAAATGCAACAATGATGAGAAGGATAGTGTTGAGCTGGGCAGCATTTCGCTCTGCTGTATTATGAGTTGGAGTTGATTGGATGGGTCTGACAACCACAACAAAATAGCTCCGTGACCATGCAAGACGGAGGGACCCCATAGCAGCAAATGATTCACCTCATTTTCCCACTGAAGACACTCTTGCTGGGTCTACTTTGAATTCTTTGACATTCCCCCCCCCCCAACTCCTAGGAAAGAGATTGGGATGGAGTTTGTAATTAAGTTTAGGATAGATCTGATGATAGCATTGGGAATGGAAGGACAACGGAATGAGTAATGGTGCAGGAGATGGTACTAGAGTTGGCATTTGGGATAAGATTAGACTCCACACAGGAAGCTGTTGGGGGAAAGTGATTGCTGGGATCCTTTTGGGTTGGGGCTGGAAACTCGGGTTTTGGATGGGGAGTGTGGAGGTATACGGCTGAGTTAGGGTTGTGAGTTGCTTTGGTGATGAGGACTAGAGAAGAAGTTGAAGGTCTGTTTTAGGTTAAGGCATTGATGGGAGTGGGTTGAGACATTGTTGTGATTCAATGTAGAGTGACAAAAAAGGCTCCCATCCTTCCCCACTCTGGACTCACCCTACCTTAGGGGATTGGGCCCAGGGAGGGTGTTGACTTCACTTTTTTTTTAGTAGAGTTGGGTTCAGGCAGGGTGGCAGGAGGGAGGATGCCAGGTTAAGTGAGGTGACAGATCTGTGTGGGAAGCCAGGGTACTTGTGCCCTCTTGTGGCTTAGGTCTACACTTCTAGAGAACCTTTTCTCACTTGGACCTTGAATGAGAATGGTTGGCTTTGACATTCACTAAGGGTTGGATGCCCAGTCAACAACAATATTAGGGTCTTGACTGACCAGAGTTCAAGGTTGGCTTATGCTATCATTTGAAGTAAGGTCACGGACTCACAAAGGGTAAGAAGAATTTCACCTCTTCAAATGCAGAAGGCAACTAGATCCCAGAGTGGGCAGTGGGCTGCTGGAAGCCACCCAAACAGAACCAAATCTAAGGTCTTTCATACCTCAGAATCTTCCTTGAGATCAGTGCTGGGGAAAGAAGCAAGGGCTGGAGAAAAGGCAATGCAGTCTTGTGTTTAAGAGTGATTAAGATCTGGAGTTCTCGATTGCCTGGTTTTAAACCCCAGCTCTGTCCTATATTAGCTATGTAATCGGAGCAAGTCACTTGGCTTCTCTGTGCTTCTGTTTTCCCATTTTTAAATGGCATCACCAGTAGCACTGACTCTGGATGGGAAAATTAAACGCATCGCTGAAGGCATTTAGAAGACAACATGGCCACGAACGTGCTTATAAAGAAGTAAACCTGGAGATGGAGGCAAGCTGAGGTTCCTGGAGGCTCCACCCTGGCTTGGCTTCAAAATGGGCTTCTTTGTCAAACTGGAACTGGAAGGTCTGGTTGGAAGCTCTGGCTGGGATGTGAAAGTCAGCCTCCTCACACCCAGGCTGGGAGGAAGGGCCCGGATGCAAATATGAAGGGAGAAGGAGAGACAGAAAGAGGCACAAAAGCAGATAGATAGATAGATAGATAGATAGATAGATAGATAGATAGAGGGCTGGGTAGGAGAGAGAGGAGAGAGAAAATGAGAGAGATAAGGACACAGAGGTGGAAAGACAGAGCGACACCAGAAGAGAAACTAAACGCTGACCCTTGGAGAGAAAGGTGTACAGATTATTGAAAGACATAGTTTTGCCTTTGAACCTGAATCCGGGTTATTCAAGATGGCAGCCCCAATAAGAACTCCTCTTGTGTAACAATTACAAACCACTTTTCGCCCATAGCTGACATTAGAAAGGCGAGTTGTGTCACCTAGCTTTACACATAGCCTCCCATAACCGCATCTGTGCCCACATCTGGGTCTCTTCTCTCAGACCTACAGCTGACCAAATTGTGCTCCATCTAAGATAGACTTGTCTACTTTTGCCCAATATCCCATCCTTTCTCATCTCCTCAAGTAAATTATTCCAGCAATTCTTTCTTGCTTCAACAGTGTTTTTTTTTTTCTTCTTCCTCAACCTCAACAATATGCAAACTTGCTATAATTTCTCCCTTCTCCCACTAGAAGAAAGGAGAGGGGGGAAAGCCCAAAGCCCAACCAATCCTTCAGTCAACACTCCTGTTTGCCTTCACCTCCTGCCAATTTCCTACTGCTGTTGACTAAAAAGTTAGTCACATTTAATCTCCAATATTTCTCC